TTCAAAAGCGCATCTGTCGCTCCATTCTTCGCACCTTTCTTAGATAGTCTTTGAGTTTCATAATCATATTCACTATTTTATTTAACAGTGAAAGCTGAACTGAGTTTCCTAACGGCCTGTTCCTAATCGTAGTTCGGTAGTGTTGCTGGGTATTAGCCCCACTGCCGATCGAAAAGTCTTGCAGATGTTCGCAGCTTTCTGAGTCAAATCATATTCTATATCTAACACTGTAGTTCTAGGCCTGGTGTTGCACAGTATAAGTATTGATTGATCACGTGAAAAAAGGTAACTGATAAAAAATGGAATATAGAAGCAGTGTTGCACTCGGAGAAGCAGAATAAATACGGAGAGACAAATTCTCGTGCTCCATAGGGTGGAACACGATGACTGAACTGAGGTAAATTACAATTATTCGAAAGAGTTTATAAATGAGGGCCACCACGTGTTCTCATAAGAAAGCCCAAAATTTATATTCTAGGTAGAAAACTCTGATGAAAAAAGACGTTTACAATGCAAAATTTAGAAAGCTTTACGTGCTTATTTCCTCTATAATCAGAATAAAGTTCGTTGACACAAAAGTATAGAGCTGTTGTGTTGGTCGAGGCGAGCGGACCATGTCGGTTAGCTCCGATCTATGAACCAATGTACAAATTTACTCGGACCTCTTTTCTTCTACGTTTCAAGTCACATGTTGCTAATGTCCTTACATTCCTTCAAAAAGAGTATTATGCCTTGAAGATGAAACTCCAGTCAAACTGACTACCAATGATGTTGCATTATCAACCCTCAAGGGACGACGTGTACCAGCTGAGGTACACGACTGTTTGAAGGTCTTCTTGCATTTTCTCTCAGACATTTGGTAACCATTCAAAAGCTTGAATCTCTGCAATTTCCATGTTTGATTTCTGAAAAGACTTTTTATGACGTTGTAACAGAGAAAATAAAGTTATGTTTCGCACTCAGTTTGCTTTATTTGCTCGGTTGGGGCTTGTATATGGCTTTTCGCCAAACTCTTACTAGTCATTGAATAGTCCAAATCTCGAGAATTTCGATGCTGTAATTGGTTTTCTAAAAGGTTATCACAGAACGCTGTAAAAGAGAAAGGAGACTACGTTTCGCACTCAAAGTTTCTTATAGTACACAAAAGTTATATATGCACGAAAAGCATATGACCATGTAAAGAAGATCATGGAGTATCAGCTACAAAAAACCCAATACTTACTTTCCAAATGAAGGAATAACCCTAATTGAACAACGAAAATCACCCGCCTCTTGCGAGTTGCGCTGTGCGACCGATCAACTGCCGTTTCTAAAGGGTTGAATACTTACAGCGTATGTCGGAGTAGTGGTTATCAATTGATGGACAACGTTCAATCGCGCACTCAAAGGTCCCCAAGCCTTCCATCCCTCCGGGGTCGGCGAATGGACACGAGACTTGTTTGGGAAGACAATCAGCACTGACTTGATACATCGGTAAAGCCAGAACGAGTCATTCTAAAGGCCAGATGTGCATTCAGTCACCTCATACTAAGCTAGAAATTAAAGACGAATACATGACGCATTTCTCAGGACGATCAACGCCAAGAGCTTTATCTTTTATCTCTCATTAAATACTTGGTGGCTTACACTAAAAGGAAAGAAAACACTTCACACCCCCCCCCCCCCGTTTGAACAGAACGGTGAGCAACGTTTCGTTAAAGGCTTTTAACTATGCCATTTGCCGTGACTATGCTTCAACGAACATCACTTAAAATCGCTGAGAGGGCGACATCTCAAATTTGAGAAACGTGATAGTTTCAGTTCCTTCATACCGACTGTGCATTGATGATTGACCATGGAGAGGAGAAAGGCTTGTTGGGTCGACAACAAGTGTCAAAAAACCCTTTTGCGGGTTACTTTTTTACCCATTCGATACCACTTTGATTTTTCACTTTTTACGCGACATGACCAGCTAGAGGGGCACACACCGATGAAAATATGGCTTTCTGGTTAGATTTAGATTTTTATCGCTACTAAAAGGGGTTTCATTATCAAAAAAAATTTTGCAACGCTACTGCTTCCTTCAAAACACTGCATATTTCAAGAACCAGATAGTCACAAAATGGTTAGATTTCCATCAGCATATTTCAAACCTTTTGAGGCTAATTTCGTTGAGTTGTTGAACATTTTTATGCTACCTTATTGTATTCATTCATATTTCAATAACATTTACCTTCAATTATTATGTCAACAACAATTCATCTCTGTACATAGCTGCAAATAAATAAACAAATACTCAATTACATGATCATTTTGTACTCATGAAATCGAATATTACGACACAAACCTTTGGGTTTGAATGTCCTCTCATTCCATATGAAACTCAAAAATCACCAGAAATTGATAAATACAAAAAAGTGAACAGTTTGGTAAAAATAATCCTGCACACTGCGTGAGATGCTACTTCAACTATAACTCTCAATAATTTTTTGATTATTAGAGCACTTTCAAAACTTTGCTAATGACTTAGCTCACAAGACGAACCGATAACAATTTTTTAATTGAGGAAACAATAATACGGTGGTCGTAACAATATATTGACAATGTCAAGTCATGATAATGACTATGGCATGATAAAAATCAATACATTTCAATGCCGACTCAATAATTTTCAAGGAACAACTCTGAAATTCTTCTTATATTGATAAACTTTTAATAAAACTAGACACTACACTACTTTATACAGTATTGTTGCCTACACTCTAGCTCATCGTAATACAACGTTTAAGAGTTGCTTAATGCTTGAATCAATGATCTCTTCCGACGATAAATCCAAGTGTGCGGTATCTGTGATGATCGTTGTAGTCCTGACAATATGATACTACAGTGATTTCTCACCATAGTAAACAACATGTCCCAGAATCACTTACTCTTATCGTTAGCGACTTTGCTGAGTCGAGTTCCGAAATTACTATCTCCTTTCCCTCTTCACCACTTGAGAACGTCTTTGCAGTAAAGCGTGCCTTTTTGCCTTTCAGTATGTCTTGACGTTCATGCTTAAGCGCCAAATAACATTCGGCGAGACTCTTCGCATGACGATCATTTTGACGCCACGTTATCTGAAGCTCTCGTAAAATACAGAAGACGGCTGCGCCTATTCTCGAATAATGCGCAAGGTTGTACCTGTAACTGCGAAGCAATTCTGGTAGATATGCTTGGTACGAATAGAAGAACGTCCATATCCTCTGGCATTGAACAAGAGAGAGCATCAAGCCTACGTAGCATTGGTGCAAACTGCAACTGGTAAAACATCGAACTTATGCCTGATAATCATTTTTGAGCCAAGCATGTGGTCTGTCATAAGCTAACTCTATAGAGCCCGATACACGTGTTTCGGCCTTGACAGCCTTGTCAATCGGGCAGTACTCTTCGTCTTTAGTCAATCCTCTCGGGTGAACTCAAACCCTATAGAGAGTTGGCGACGACGAACATTTTCCACGTGCCATTGAATGAAAATACCACTGAATGGCAGGGCAGCGTTTTACATTCGATTGCTCTTGGCTGGTATCGTTAAATATATCATACCTTTCAAACACTGCCATTCAGTGATATTTTCACTTAATGGCACGTATTGAATGTTCATCGTCACCAACTCTCTATAGCGGTTGGATTCTCTCGAAGGAATTGGCTAAAACGAAAGGCACTGCCCGACTGATGAGGCTGTCAAGGCTGAAACACATGTATCGGGCTCTATATGTTGCCCTATAATAGACCACATTCATGGCTCAAAAATGACTATCAGGCATATTGAAATTTGAGCGTGGTCTTAAGAAAACACTTGAAACAAAAGAAAGAACTCTAATAGAGTTACACTTCATATTTCATGCAGCTTCTGAAAGAATACAGATTATACTGTTCAGCCATGAGTGTTTGAGCTAACATGATACGCCCAAGAAACAAACGCGAACGCATGACATTATCACGAGATGAATGCAATTTAACCTTTTGAGGACGTCGTGTACCGGCTGCGGTACACGATTACATAAAGGTCTTCTTTGCTGAATAGAGCGTTTCTCCTAGACTTTCAGCGATCATTCGATGGCCTGAAGAACGACAATTTCAATAAGCGCTTTGTCTATGGAAAGGCTACTTAATGCGCTGTAGCGGCCAACGGAATATTACGTTTCAACTTAGGCGTGTAACGTTTGCTGAGATGGCGTCTGTGCCTGGCTTTTCGTAAACTTGTAGTAGCCGTTTGGTAGCTTGAAAACGACGATTTCAATAGTGCAACAATAGTTTTGAGTGTTGAAGCTCAACCCACCATCGGTAAATGCGTTAGAAGATCACTCGTCACTGAATCACATTCAACAAATTTACATTCACGCAATACATGTAGTTGTCCTGACAGTAATTAACGTCTCGAATAGTACAACATCGTTGATGAATGAAGCCTAAATTTTTACGAGTGAATCCAAAGACTAAGGAAATTTCTAATGGAAATTATCTAGAAGGAAAACGTTGAAAGGAAGAGTACAAAATTTAACTCCTTGACTCCAAAAAGGTACATAAATGTGCCATCGTTGGCCACGTGGGCGCGCCGCATACGGTGAGAATTTCGTATTTTTGCGCGCTGCAATGGAGATGTGGGAGTGTTTGTTTGCTAAATCGAGGTTCTGAGGGAGCACTAACATCATTAAATTACGGAACACCACAAAATAGACTTCCATAAAGGTTTTTTTTCGCAAAATTAAGACCCATATGTCAGAAACTCTGCTTCAATGAGAAAACATTGTTGCATCGAGTGCATGTTTCCAACTAATATATAATACCTGTTTTTTTAGTCTAAGTTTCTATAATCATTAGATAGTTTCAAAATTCCGATTTTAATAACAAGTGTGATTTGTGGAACGACCTTCATCATATGATTTTCTAACAAAAAGATTCGTTTCGGTCTAAGAGTGCATTGTTTCAAGGTTATAGTGTTTATATAACTAAGAGAATTGAGTGGTGAACAAAAACACGGCCTCAGGCGGGAATCTAACCCACGTTTCATCCTATCCGGGACGCGTGCTCTACCACTACACCACTGAGGCACATTTGCCCGACCACTCATTCTTCAACATCTCAATGTTAGCTATCAGCCACCAACCTTTGACAGGTTTGGTCGGGTATGCGATTTCGCTCTATAAACCCAGTTGAGCTGATAGCTATTCTATTTACTAATACTTCAAAATTATAGTATTTTCACTGCTTTTTTCGCAGTGTTATTAAGTTACTTATATAACCAAGAGAATTGAGTAGTGAACAAAAAAACGGCCTCAGGCGGGAATCGACCCACGTTTCATCCTATCCGGGGACGCGTGCTCTACCACTACACCACTGAGGCACATTTGCTCGACCACTCATTCTTTTTGTTCACCACTCAATTCTCTTAGTTATATAAGTAACGTAAGAACACTGCGAAAAAAGCAGTGAAAATACTATAATTTCGAAGTTATAGTGTTTTGCGGTAAAATAAGAAAAGCTAAAAAAATGATTCCATGGGAACTTATGGCTATGAAATAGTTAATTTTACCTCTATAATGTACTTCTAATGAAAAAATACCTAGAAAATCTTAAGTTTTCATGAAAAAAGCAATGTAATGAGTGAACAATGCATCTCGAACTCTTCCGTAATTCTTTCGACGATATTGTGTAATTATAACTCGAAAACAAAACAATCGACTTCCATAACTTACGTAACAGTACTCTTCAATATGAGGGCAAAGCAAGCTTTGACAATTTTTATATCCATCTATTTGATTAATTCTTTACAAAAGATGCTTATTTCTAATCTAAGGAATATTTCCAATATAGAAAGTGAAGGCCCATAATACCGCAGAACAACATCTTTTCTATAACTCCATAGAGGTTGCAACTCTGAAGGAATCTAATCTCGAGATATTACTGATTTGCACTAATCTCGAAAAATCACTGATGCAGTATCATTTTTGACAAACAGTTCATTGTTTCGTGAGTGTTTTGACATGTTTCAATCCACTATATTCAACCAGTTATTAAAGATCAATCTCTCTCTGATGGTGAGCAAAGATGAATCCTATTAGAAAACTAACACACTGCTACTGTAACGCGCTGCACCTGCCGCACTATCCCGCTGCCTGCCGCGTATGGAACCAACGTGAGACTCAAGGGGTTAAATGTAGTTGAACTGCAGGCATGGTAGTATTATAGCGATAATGGGTAACGAACCTCAAACTTGGTAACCACGTTGAACCACGACGATGGTGTGTCAAATTTTCGAAAGGCGACCTAGAATGGCATGTTTCTCAAAAGAGTTAAAAAAGAACTTAAGTGAAAATTTGCTGAAATCAGTGATTATCAAAACGAACTGTTCTGTTAACGATTTCGGGTAGTTCTGCAAAATCGAAAGGTATAGAGCAATACGTCGACGCTCAAGCTCACAGCAAATATTACACAGACTGTCCAATGAGCTTCGGTTGGATAACACGTTAAGAGAGAGTACGTTTAGTACCATAAAAAATCGCAAAATAGAACGCAACTGCTAGAAAAGTGTTTTGAAAACCATTCAATTCAGTAACTTTCAATTCGACGTCAAAATACGTCAGAAGAACAGAGAATAATTTCTTACTTATTGAAGCCAAGAAAATCCCTAATGGACGACAGAATATTCCCGTAACAAAGATCGAATTTGAGCAACTTGAGATTCATTCGATCTCGCCATCTTGGAGATTTAAGGGGAAAATCTTGTACATTCGCAGCGTTTGAAAATTCACTATAGCAGTGAGTTTTGTCAAAGGAGAAATCTCTTTCAGCGTTCAAATGCAACCTCCGACAGCAGTTTTCACATCCTTTCAACAGAAAAGCTGCAAAGATGTAAAGGAAAGTATCAAACGTTTAAAATATGTAAATCATCACAACATTGTAGATTCATTCATAGTTTGAAAAGCCTTGGAGCCCTGAATGCCCCGACTGCAATTTAATAAACTGGGCATCAAGTACGCCCCTATAAAGGGCTCTCATTTTAGTTTCAGTAGTTTTTAATGGATCCTAATGTCGTACAAGATATCGTACAATCCTCAACCACACTAATTGCTATGTCTTGGGCACTTTTTTCCTGAAATCTCCACATTACATGGAGACCTCATGGTTCCTCACAAGTGCAATTTCAAGCCAAGGAAGTTCTTTTTTTTCATCACTCAGTCTTTTCTAGAAAGAAGATTGTCGTCGTTTCCGATAGTTTTCTTCAACTTCCGATTCTAGCTGAATCAAAAAAGTCTCATATACAATACGAATTGCAGTTAATGAAAGACCATTGGTCTGTCTCCGCGAAGGACGTCCTCCGAAAGCTAGCGTCTTCCAAACTGAGAATGAATTCAACGCTTAAATTTCAGCTCCTAGCTAAAGAAAACCTGGCGGCAGACCTCAGTTTGTCTCAAGGCAACTTCACTTTCATTTTGTAGACGTTAAGACCTCAAGATATTGAAAAGTTCCTGAATGGTTGAATTTGACGAAAAATCCAACTTTTCAAACTCGACGCCCAATTAAGAAGTGATGGCCAGACAACACAACTCGTCTTCAGTCGATCTGACCTAAGCCTTGGAGGCAGTAGAACACCTCAAAGATTCTAAACTGGCGCAATTTTTTTCGTTATCTGAGATCATTTTTGAATTTTCAAGAAAATTTTTCCCTTTTCTTAGACTTACTTGCATATTCAGGGTCCTGCAATGGCTTATATTTCTGCAATTCAACACTGCACCTGCTTTCCAAAATGGCCCTTTAGTGCTCTGTAGCAGCGACAGTAGATGCATCATCTTTCGTCTTTCGAATCGCGTCGCTCAGATTTCGACACCCGTCTCAAAAAGGAGCGATTTTCGTTATGTATTAAGAAATCTTTCAATCATCCAAAAATATTTTCCCACTTCTCGAATCATAACTGAAAAAGCATTATGACACGTTTTCCCATCAACCCTTATTGATATTCGAAATCAATGTCATGAGTACACATTGACTAACTCACAAGCGATCTTACATATTAACATTACTGCCACTTGTAAAAAGCAAATATGAGGAATTTTTGGATCTTCTCTAGAATTCTACAGCATCTTTGGATCTATTTCGGAGATCGATATGGATCTTTTCTAGGATACTATATCATTTAGAAACACCATATTTTACTATAAAAATCAGGCAGTGCTGCCGCCAAATGTCTTTATTCTTAATTCCTGAAAGTATAAGTCAAAATCAATACAATTTGGCTTTTTTCCCCGGCGGCATAAACATCTCCATCGATTTCTCTGCACACTCCACCAAACACTCACTGCTTGGGCAAGGACACGTCCGAGCGTGGTTTTTGCGCCTAGAGAACAGAAGTAACAAGATCTGCTATTGGATTTGATGGACAGAATGCGAGTCGAAGAAACCGCATTTGCTTTCCTGCATGACTATGGGGTGGTGCATAACTCGAGAATTTGCTCCAGTGGCCACGGGATGAAGGCAAGCTTCGGAGAGAATCCTTGTTGACCATGAAACAAGGCCAAGTGTTGTTCAAGCAAGGATCTCCGTGTGGACACATTCTTTCAGAACTCTAACATGAAGCTCCGCCTGGCGGTCACCTTCGTCTGTCTGTGGGCATACGAGAAGACTGCCGTTGAGTGCTGCCAACCTCACTCGGCATCGCTGCACAGACCGTAGACGTAGTGAGTGCTCCTACTTCATGAGAGACATTTGTGCGGATAGCGTCACCAAGCACGGATCATCGCCGGTGGAGGAGAACTGAATGTGGAAATTGACGAGTCCTTGTTCTCTAGGCGCAAGAATCACGTCGGGTGTGTCCTTCCAAAGCAGTGGGTGTTTGGTGGAATGTACAGAGAAACCGGTGAAGTGTTCCTGGAAAAGGTTCCTGATCGTACGGTGCAGACGCTTCTAGAGGTCATCAATCACCGCACGTCCTGAAAAGAACATCATATCGTATAGTTGGAAGGCGTACAATCTGATTCAGAACCAGGAGAACAAGGTCTACGAGCAATCCTGCATCAACCATCCCCACCACTTCGTCGGCCCAGAGACCGGTGCCGATACTCAGGCGATCGAAAGCACATGGAATCAGGCCATAAAAGCAACAAGTGGCAGTGTGGGACGAGCTGCACTCTCCTCGACCCTGTCTGGCAGAATTTACTTGGTGACGCATGGTCAAAAATCGAGGTCGCGATCCATTTGGGGCACCTTTCGAGAAAATGACGATGTTCATGTCCGCCTGAGAACACAGTCTAATTGATATTAGTTTTGACTTATGCGTTCAGATAGTAAGAATAAAGACACTCGACAGCAGCATTACCTGATTTTTATAGCAAAATATGATATTTGAAAATGCTGTAGAAATCTAGGAAAGATCCGAATTTTTTGATGTGATTCGGACTTTGGTAAAGGTACTGGCGACCGACCTGATGTTGTAGTTGCTACTGGTCTTACCCCGTACTTTGGCAATTAAACCTTTGTCTACATAGTAATATTATTAACACGACAAACAACAACAGTAACGGCCAATACGGTAACATTCGAAATGAACGAATGATAGTTGTGAGAAACTGCGATTAAGCTAAAGTGGTGGTTCAGTGGGTTTACGTAATTGTTGAGAATAATGAGATTGTTGTGAAGTGAAGGTTCAGCGGGTTTATGTATTGATAAGAACAATAAGATTGACACTACAAACGATACACAAGGCTTCTACGATGAGCGTGAGAAATATGAGCTATAGCACAGAGGTGAGCTATGAATGAGGAATATGCAATACGACAACTACACAGTAATTCCACTCAGCAGTCAGACAATACAGTTGAAAGAACGCAACACTATAGTAAAGAACAATGCGAGCCTTTTGATTTGATCTGAGTCGCAGAGAGCAATGGTGCATTCCATACATTGCGCGCGAGAAATGTGAACGAGAATTATGATACAATGTGATGAGCTAGGAGTGAGCGACAGAGCGTTGATGATGACGACACAATGTGATCAACCTGGCAAATGGACAGTCGACATTTGATCTACAGTTGGAAGAACCAGAGCCCATGATGAA